GAACGCGGGCGACAGTTGCAGCCCCCCACCTTGAACCCCCTTTTTTTTTTTTTTAGGGTTTAATTAATTATTATTTTTTTCTGGCGCTAAAGCGCTGCGGGGCGCGCTGCCTGCAGGGTGTGCTGCCTGCAGGGCGCGCTACCCGCGGGGCGCGCTGCCTGCGGAGCGCGCTACCCGCGGGGCGCGCTACCCGCGCGGCGCGCTGCCTGCGGGGCGCGCTACCCGCGGGGCGCGCTCCCTGCGGGGCACGATTTCTGCGGGGGGCGCACTTCCTGCGGGGCGGGGCGACGCGGCGGGCTAGGGGCAGGGCGCTCGGGCGCGCACGGGCTAGGGGCAGTGCGCACAGGCGACGTTACGGGCTGGGGCAGGGCGCATGGGCGACGTGACGGGCTGGGGCAGGGCGCACGGGCTACGCGACGGGCTAGGGCAGGGCGCACGGGCTACGCGACGGGTTAGGGCAGGGCGCACGGGCGACGCGACGGGCTGGGGCAGGGGCCACGGGTTACGCGACGGGCTGGGGCGGAGGCGCGATACGGAGGGCGTGGAGGGCGCGTAGGGGAGGGCTAGGCGCGGAGGCGCGGATGGCGCGTTACGGAGGGCGCGGAGGGCGCGTTACGGAGGGCGCGGATGGCGCGGAGGGCGCGGAGGCCGCGTTACTCGAGGCTAGGGCGCGGAGGCCGCGGAGGCCGCGTTACTCGAGGCTAGGGCGCGGAGGCCGCGGAGGCCGCGTTACTCGAGGCTAGGGCGCGGAGGGCGCTAGGGCGCGTGGAGGAGGGCGCGTAAGGCGCGGAGGCGCTCTAGAGCGCGGAGGGCGCAAGGGCGCGGAGGGTGCTAGGGCACGTGACGGAGGGCGCGTAAGGCGCGGAGACGCTCTAGGGCGTGGAGGGCGCGAGGTAGGCTAGGCAAGGATTCTAAACCTACTCGTGATACCATCTCAGAAAGTGAATGCAACGGAATGATTGGAATAGAAACGAATGGGGTACAAATAAGCAACCCTAGAAGCTGTACCCCCTAGAGTGCAACTCACTACAGCCTATCATATCAATGTTCAACATTTGACAATATTGTAATTGTTTTTGGTATTTCTACATATGAGTGATGCCACGACAACGACTGTAATGGAATTCATTAATAATTGGACGATGTTGTCATGCTCTGTCTGCTACAGAAAACTTGCATCTAAGGTTCCGTATTCTCCCGGACATAACACCTTAGGGTGTTATGATAAATACAGGAAAAAAATGGGGGGGGGGTCTTCTCATCGGAAAAAGCTACATACTACCCGGGTCTATTCATATGACATTTTCTTATATAAGGATTTTGATAAATTGAGGGCTTGGGTGTTTCCAAAGTTGGTTTACCATCACACTCAGAGGCGAGAACGCGAGTTGCGGCAAGTGGCATCTTGACCACCTTGAAGATGGCGTGTGGCACCTCTCTGCCCACTTGACAACGAAAGATTCGCCAGCTTGGCGACAGTGAAATTGTGGGAGGGGGGGAATCTCGGCAGATATCATTGAAAGTTCCGTGTAATTTCGTAGAGGGAGGGTTTTTCGCGTCCTCCCGTACTTGCCCCAACTCGTTATCAGCTACCGTATGGCCCCGGATATAGGCGCATATGCGCTTATAATAAAATTATTTTTAAGGGGGGCGCTTGTAATTGAGTATCGGCCATAAGCGCCGGCGCTTATATAATGACAAATACAGAAATACAGTTTAAACGCACCAAATTGTACATTTCAGTCTCGAAACTTCAATCGAATCGTTTTTTTACAGCGTCCAGAATCAGAATCGCGCGAGGGCGATTCTCTGACGGTGCAAAGAGCTTTGGCACGTCAGTTTGCCCGCGTGCTACTTCATCCTGACTGGACGCGCAACCAGGCCCTCAGATTCACTTTTAGGGACGTTGATGCATCAGGGTCCCTGTGAAAAAAAAGGCTGATTTTCAGTGTTCCTAAAAAAAAAAGCCGAAAGTCAAACAAAAGTGAAAATGGGTATTGACTCGTTGGAATTTTGAAACTCGTTACCGGTTTAATCAGGATTGAAAAAATAAAATTATGCATGCGCTTATAATAAATCAGGGTTTTATAGGGGGGGCGCTTATAATCGAATTCCGGCCATAAGCGCCATGCTCCAGATAGAAGCGCCGGCGCCTTTAATCGGACGGCGCCTATATCCGGGGCCATACGGTATTATAATACGAAATCTAAATGAAAAGGGGGGTGTTATAGAAAATCACCCCAAAAGGGGGGGTATAGTACAAACGAGGTCGGCTATAACACCCACCCCGCACAAGCTACCCGGGGGTGTACAATTTCGGGGGGGTGTTATGTCCGGGAGAATACGGTTATTCCAACAAGGCCGATCTCTATTATACGCAATCTCCTTCCAAGTTATATTCAACTGGTATGGTACATTTCACTATCTGATTCATGGCATGGCATCCCTAGAAGCATCTACCGTTTTTTTTGTAAACAGCTGCTTTCCTGGGTGAATCAATCATTATTCTAAACCGCTCTTCACCTGCCTTTACATTGATGAGCGAATTCCGCTTGAACCCAACCTGCCTGCTGTCCTCGATATTGACGACATGCTGATGTTGGCCTTCTCAAACCCCCTCGCCATTCCCATGAGTCCCGTAGAACCCAGACTCTTTCGCTCGACAGGGGCTAGTTACCCCTTCCCCGCTCGCAGTCCCTCAAGAGGTTAGGAATCAACTAGGTCCTTCATGAGGCACTGGGTGTAGAATAGAGCAAATAGAGCATTAGTAGTCGAACTGCCGTGAGGAGCACCGTGATAGAACATCTGTTTTTAGACGCCAGGCCAACACTGGTAGAAGGATAGAAACCCTGATCCTGGGTCGAATTTACCGCAACGGCATCCGTCACAGCAGCATTTGTTACAGGGTAAAATTATGTCTCTAGCTCTGCGCCACGTGCCATGGGCCTCGTGGGAGGAGTGGGAGGCGGTGCGGGCGAGCCTGCTGGGACCCGCCGCTACCCGCGAGTCCATCTCCTTCGGGATTGACCGGGTGGGTAGTAGGTGTAGCCGTATCCCCGCTGTAGTGTGATCCGTCATCCGCTATCACGTCCTGTGGGCCTCCTGGGAGGGGCGGGAGGCGATGAGCGAGAGATTGATTGGTAGCCTTCATCCCCAATATAAGTACCTGCGATGGGATTCTGATTTATATTGGGGATAGCGGCTGTGTCACTGTCGAATCTTGATTGTTCCTTGGAGAATCGGGACGCAGTGAGAGTAGAAGTCGAAAAAATCGTATCCTCAGTTCCGCATATTTCACGTCGCGTGTACTCGTCGTACTTCTATATCCGTTTAAACCCGAAACCCATTTCGTCCCCTCCATTTCACCCTCGGGATTCTCCCCACATTTTGAAATGCCAGGTGGCAGCATGGCAGATCAGGGGCAGGGTTCCAGCCTCTGTGGACGTGACAGCTGGCATGCTCGCCGTGCAGCTGCAGGACCCAGACCTCTGGTAGGTTCGGGGATGCAGGTTCGGAGCCGTACGCTCGGGTGACGTAGGTCTGGAATGGGTGCTGAGGGAATGCCATGCTCAGCGCGTGTCTAAAAATATCGCTCGAATGCGGCTGAGTGAGGTGTTTTACATTCTAGAACGGTTGAGAGTGGGGCATTGAACGGAGAACCAACTTGCGATACACACTGGAAAACAATGCGCTGGCGTGCTGTCTTTCCCAGTGACCCCACTCCACTCTCACCTTCATACCACCCCACATGGGTTCGTTCCCCACAGCTTCCCAGCTTCCCCACAGGGTCCTGACACTCATCCCGCCCACACAGGTCTAGAGCCCATCTCTAGATTCTTTCCTCCCTTCCACACAGCATTTGTCCTGACACTCATCCCGCCCATTCCCCCCCCCCCCCCCCCCCCTCCTTCCTTTCAGACCGCCCAACGCAGTACCTCCGCTCCCCCCATTCGTGCTCCGCCAATCATATGCTGCCGTCATTATAAGGTCAGTCACTCATCCTTAGGCTGAGCCCAACACACATGCCGTGCCATGTCAGTCACACACCTGCCACAGTCTAGCCGTTTGCACGTGATGGGATTGCTGAGGGGTTCTGTGCGGTTCGTGCTGCGCCAGTCGTGCACTGCCTTGTGCATCAGATCAGTCAGTCAGTCAGCCAGCCAACCAACCATAGCCGAACACACACAGGGCACCATATTTCTCACACGAGTTGTACCATTTGCAGATGGTTCGTGCTCGTTCAGCCGTTGTCATGTGAGTGCTGAAGGCTTTTGAGGCGCCTCAAAAGGTGCGTTGGTGCACGCTGTGACGACCTCATCTTTTGAGGCGCCTCAAAAGGTGCGTTGGTGCACGCTGTGACGACCTCATCTTTTGAGGCGCCTCAAAAGGTGCGTTGGTGCACGCTGTGACGACCTCATCTTTTGAGGCGAAAAGGTGCGTTGGTGCACGCTGTGACGACCTCATCTTTTGAGGCGCCTCAAAAGTTGTACCATTTGCAAATGGTTCGTGCTCTGCTCGTTCAGCCGTTGTGATGTGAGTGCTGAAGGGTTCTGTGCGGTTCATTCATGCTCTGCCAGTCATGAGCCATCGTTGCTTGCCATAATCATTACCTTGGTCGGTTTCCATAAGCATTCCTGTCACATGTAGGTTCATAATCAGGAGGGGTGGTCATGAGGGGTTCTGAGGTAGGGGTTCTGAGGGGTTATAAGGGGTCGTGAGGAGCCATGAGTCGTCTTTTCCTTCATTGATTAAATTAGTATGTCTGTTTATCGTCTCCACATTATCATGCCACGTGTAGGTTCGTGAGTGGTCTGTGTGACAACCGGAATCCAGCACTGGGTCGGTCGGTGGTGAGGGTGGCGGCTCACGTGGGCATCCCACGACTGCTGGTGGACGTCAGGCATTGTGAGTGAGGCTTAGATGTTGTTTAGTTGGAGTGATTGCACATGTGTTGGAGTTTAGTTGGGCAACACTTTATTAAAGGTGAACACAACAGTCACTCACAGGTGAGTGGAGAGGGTGAGTGGTGAGGGTGAGTGGAGAGGGTGAGTGGTGAGGGTGAGTGGTGAGGGTGAGTGGAGAGGGTGAGTGGTGAGGGTGAGTGGTGAGGGTGAGTGGTGAGGGTGAGTGGTGAGGGTGAGTGGAGAGGGTGAGTGGTGAGGGTGAGTGGTGAGGGTGAGTGGTGAGGGTGAGTGGTGAGGGTGAGTGGTGAGGGTGAGTGGCGAGGGTGAGTGGTGAGGGTGAGTGGAGAGGGTGAGTGGAGAGGGTGAGTGGTGAGGGTGAGTGGTGAGGGTGAGTGGTGAGGGTGAGTGGTGAGGGTGAGTGGAGAGGGTGAGTGGTGAGGGTGAGTGGTGAGGGTGAGTGGTGAGGGTGAGTGGTGAGGGTGAGTGGTGAGGGTGAGTGGCGAGGGTGAGTGGTGAGGGTGAGTGGTGAGGGTGAGTGGTGAGGGTGAGTGGTGAGGGTGAGTGGTGAGGGTGAGTGGTGAGGGTGAGTGGTGAGGGTGAGTGGTGAGGGTGAGTGGTGAGGGTGAGTGGTGAGGGTGAGTGGTGAGGGTGAGTGGTGAGGGTGAGTGGCGAGGGTGAGTGGTGAGGGTGAGTGGTGAGGGTGAGTGGCGAGGGTGAGTGGTGAGGGTGAGTGGTGAGGGTGAGTGGTGAGGGTGAGTGGTGAGGGTGAGTGGTGAGGGTGAGTGGTGAGGGTGAGTGGTGAGGGTGAGTGGTGAGGGTGAGTGGTGAGGGTGAGTGGTGAGGGTGAGTGGTGAGGGTGAGTGGTGAGGGTGAGTGGTGAGGGTGAGTGGTGAGGGTGAGTGGTGAGGGTGAGTGGTGAGGGTGAGTGGTGAGGGTCGGTGGTGAGGGTGGGTGGTGAGGGTGAGTGGTGAGGGTGAGTGGTGAGGGTGAGTGGTGAGGGTGAGTGGAGAGGGTGAGTGGAGAGGGTGAGTGGAGAGGGTGAGTGGAGAGGGTGAGTGGTGAGGGTGAGTGGTGAGGGTGAGTGGTGAGGGTGAGTGGTGAGGGTGAGTGGTGAGGGTGAGTGGAGAGGGTGAGTGGTGAGGGTGAGTGGTGAGGGTGAGTGGTGAGGGTGAGTGGTGAGGGTGAGTGGTGAGGGTGAGTGGTGAGGGTGAGTGGTGAGGGTGAGTGGTGAGGGTGAGTGGTGAGGGTGAGTGGTGAGGGTGAGTGGAGAGGGTGAGTGGTGAGGGTGAGTGGTGAGGGTGAGTGGTGAGGGTGAGTGGTGAGGGTGAGTGGTGAGGGTGAGTGGTGAGGGTGAGTGGAGAGGGTGAGTGGAGAGGGTGAGTGGTGAGGGTGAGTGGTGAGGGTGAGTGGTGAGGGTGAGTGGTGAGGGTGAGTGGTGAGGGTGAGTGGTGAGGGTGAGTGGAGAGGGTGAGTGGTGAGGGTGAGTGGTGAGGGTGAGTGGTGAGGGTGAGTGGTGAGGGTGAGTGGTGAGGGTGAGTGGAGAGGGTGAGTGGTGAGGGTGAGTGGTGAGGGTGAGTGGTGAGGGTGAGTGGTGAGGGTGAGTGGTGAGGGTGAGTGGTGAGGGTGAGTGGTGAGGGTGAGTGGTGAGGGTGAGTGGAGAGGGTGAGTGGTGAGGGTGAGTGGTGAGGGTGAGTGGTGAGGGTGAGTGGAGAGGGTGAGTGGAGAGGGTGAGTGGTGAGGGTGAGTGGAGAGGGTGAGTGGTGAGGGTGAGTGGTGAGGGTGAGTGGAGAGGGTGAGTGGAGAGGGTGAGTGGAGAGGGTGAGTGGTGAGGGTGAGTGGAGAGGGTGAGTGGAGAGGGTGAGTGGTGAGGGTGAGTGGTGAGGGTGAGTGGAGAGGGTGAGTGGAGAGGGTGAGTGGAGAGGGTGAGTGGTGAGGGTGAGTGGAGAGGGTGAGTGGAGAGGGTGAGTGGAGAGGGTGAGTGGTGAGGGTGAGTGGTGAGGGTGAGTGGTGAGGGTGAGTGGTGAGGGTGAGTGGTGAGGGTGAGTGGAGAGGGTGAGTGGTGAGGGTGAGTGGTGAGGGTGAGTGGTGAGGGTGAGTGGTGAGGGTGAGTGGTGAGGGTGAGTGGTGAGGGTGAGTGGCGAGGGTGAGTGGTGAGGGTGAGTGGAGAGGGTGAGTGGAGAGGGTGAGTGGAGAGGGTGAGTGGTGAGGGTGAGTGGTGAGGGTGAGTGGTGAGGGTGAGTGGAGAGGGTGAGTGGTGAGGGTGAGTGGTGAGGGTGAGTGGTGAGGGTTCCAAGACTGCTGGTTTACGTCAGGCACTGAAAGTGAGGCTCGAATGTGATCATAACGAAGCCGTTTATAACGGAGATGAACGTTACTGATTTCCGGCCAGTGTACTGCCTGCTCATTGGTCAGGGGGATGGGGGGTGGTGAGGGTGGTGGGGGAGAGGGGGTGGTGGGAGTGGTGGGGGAGAGGGGGTGGTGGGAGTGGTGGGGGAGAGGGGGTGGTGTGAGTGGTGGGGGAGAGGGAGTGGTGGGGGAGGGGGGGGTGGTGGGAGTGGAGGCCTGGCCTTGTCCCACATTGCCTGCAGCACTCTCCCTTCTCCCTCCCTTCCTGCACAGCCTTGGCCCTCCCGCTCTTCTTCCCTGTCTCCTCTCCATTCTTCAGCCCTGGCCCACAAATGGAACCTCTCATACGGTATGAGTCATACCACCCTTCTTTTCTCCCCTCATTCATTCCCCCCCCCATCATTCCTTCCCCTCCTCATCCCATTCCCCCCTCATCCCTTCCCCTCGTCACAGTCATCGCCCACAATCGCCTGCTGCAGCTGCCGGTGCTTCTCCCCCTCACCCTCCCCTTAACTCCCCCCTTCGCCCTTCCTGTTTCCATGCCCCCGCCCCTACTCCGTTCCTCAGCCCTCGCCCACAATCGCCTGCTGCAGCTGCCGGTGCTGCGACTGGCTGTTACCCAGGTGAGAGTGAGGAGGGGTGCGGATGGTGGTTGTTGGGAAAAGAGAGAGATTGACACAGGGAGCGAATGAAAGGGTTGGTCGAGAGGGAGGAAAGAACGGGTTGGTTGTCTGCTGCAGCTGCCGGTGCTGCGACTGGCTGTTACCCAGGTGAGAGTGAGGGGTGCGGATGGTGGTTGGGACGAGAGAGAGGGTCAGTGCGGGAGGGGCGGGAGGAGGGGGGAAGTCAGGAGGGAGGAAACAAAGGGAGATTTGCTGCAGCTGCCGGCGCTGCGACTGGCTGTCACGCAGGTGAGCGCGAGGGGTGTGGATGGTGGTTGGGAAGAGTGGGTGAGAGTGTGGAAGAGAAGTGGAAGAGGGGGACGACGGAGAGAGCGCGTGGTTGTTGTGATGAGGTGGGGGAGAGAGAGGTGCGGGAGTCACTTTCTGCAGGGAGGCAGGCCTGCAAGGCGCAACTTTCTCCCTGCTATGATCTATCTTACCCTTTCTCCCCGCAACATGCAACATGGAAATCACATACCCACCCACGCTCCTCCCCACCTGTTTCAACCAAGGCACACTGCTGCTCGTTCTTTCCATCCTCCCTCTCCTCCATTCCATTCCAGGCTCTGGGGTGGCTAGTGAGCAACTATTGGACCAGGCAGGCGGCCATGCGAGCAGCAGGCAGCGAGGATGGAGAGGAGAGGGCAACCCACCTCGCCCTATCACTCTTCCCCTTCGTCTGTTTTCTTGCCTCATTCCCTTGTCCCCATCCAGGCTCTCGGGTGGCTAGTGAGCATCTACAGGTGTAGGGAAGCAGCTATGCTAGCAGCAGGCAGCGAGGATGGAGAGGGCAAGTTCTCCTCCTTCAGACGACCGTCCCCTCCCTCTCCCCTTCCCCTCCCTCTCCCCGTCCCCTCCCTCTCCCCGTCCCCTCCCTCTCCCCTTCCCCCGTCCCCTCCCTTCATTCCCCCATCTCCACTCCAGGCCCTGGGGTGGCTAGTGAGCAACTACTGGAGCAGGCAAGCAGCCATGTTAGCAGCAGGCAGCGAGGATGCGGAGGGGAAGTTCTCCTCCTTCAGACGACTCACTGTTACCACCGCCACTGCTGCCCGTGTCAATGCCAACGCCAATGCTAAGCGCAAGTTTCCTGCCAGCCCCAAACCTGCTGCTGCCGGTGATGCTGCTGCTGCTGGTGGTGGTGTTGATGCTGGTGCTGCTGCTGATCCTGCCGCCGCAACGGCGGCTGCTGCCGCTGATTCTGCCAACGCCGCTGCTGCTGCTGATTCCGCCGCTGCGGCTGCTGCTGCTGACTCTGCCGCTGCGGCTGCTGCTGCAACGTTGGCGTTCGCAGCAGCGTCTGAGCCTGATGATTCGATTCTGGTGGGGAAGCACATGCAGCACCCAGCCAGGCAGAGGAAGGCGCAGTTGAGAGAGTTGCGGAGGTGTGCAGAGCGGTCTATGGGCGATTTTGCTGCTCTGCTGCTGAGGCAGCTGAGGAGAGTCGTGAATGCTGCTTATAACGCGGATAAGGGCTGTCAGGGCGGTGTGGGTGAGGAAAGGGGGGCGCTAACGGGGTTGGGGGGAGGGGGAGGAGGGGGAGGGGGTGGGGGGGAAAGAGGAGAAGATTTGGAAGGGTTAGAAGAGGCGGTTTGGGAGGTGTTGGATCATATAAGAGGGTTACCAGCTGCGTTACTGTCGCATATAGTGAGTGAGCTTATAGCGGTGGTTGTGAGGGGCGGGAGCAGGGGGGTGGGTGGTGAGGGGAATGAGGTGTGGAGAGGTGGTGAGGGGGTGTGTGAAGGGATGGGTGGAGAGGGTGGGCAGGGGCGGTTGGAAGAAGGGGACTGGAGGGATGAGGAGGAGTGGAGGGAGATTATGCAGTGTTTGGAGTGGTTGCTAATGGAAGGGGAGTTGGAAGAGGAAGAAGGGGAGGAGGGGGACGGGGATGGGAAGAAGGGAGGGATGGAAAAGGCAGTGCAAAAAGTGGTGGTGAGGAGACAGTGGGAAGGGCCGGGAGGGAAGGAGGGGGAGAAGGAAGAGGGGGAGGAGGAAGAGGAGGAGGAGGAAGAAGGGGAAGCGGAAGGGGAAGGGGAAGGGGAGAAGAAAGGACATGGGCATGGGGATAGGATGGAATGGATTGGTCAAGAGGAGGATGGATTAGGTCGGGAGACGCCTGAAAATGGTGGTGAGGAGAAAGAAGAAGAGGAGAAAGAGGAGGAGAAAGCGGAAGAGGAGGATGTTGAGGAGGAGGAGGAAGAGGAAGAAGATGAGGAGGAAGAGGAAGAAGATGAGGAGGAAGAGGAGGAAGGTTGGGAGGGGGAAGAGGACGATATGGATTTCGATCTGGGAGGCACAGACACACCAGCACACGGCACCCCATCGCATGGCTCGTCTCGAGCTCACGGCACCCCATCACATGGCTCGTCTCGAGCTTCTCGAGCTCACGACACCCCATCGCACGGCAAGTGGTTCCCTCTGCCTCTCCTCGCCCGCTGCGCCACGCGCTGCCTGCACGCCCTCCCGTCCTGTCCCCGCCTGCCACATGTGCTTGCTGATGTGTCACTTGCGCTCGCTGACCGGATGATCCCGAGGGAAGGGGAGGAGGGGAACGAGGAGAGGGAAGGGGGGGAGTGGGAGGGGAAGGGGGAAGGGAAGGGTGGAGGTGGAGGAGGTGGGTCTGAGGCAGGTAGATTTGGTGGAGGCAGGAGCAAAGGAGGGGGCGAGGGGACGAATAGGAGCAAAGGGAGAGGGGCGGCGATGAGCTGGCGAATTCGGCAGCTAGTGAGGCACGGGCTGGTGGAGTGGTGGGAGGAGAGAGGGGCAGCAGGTCTTGCTGGCTCTGCTGGTTACCCTGCTCTTGCGTCTGGTGTGGTTGCATCCATTGGTGCGGTTACACCCGGTGCTGTGGTAACATGCGGTGGTGGTGTGGTAACCACACCAGGTGCGTTTCCCGCTGCCTGGTTGGCCCATTCGCAGCGGTTGAGAGAGATTCTGGTGGCGAGCGGTGACGAGCTTATGGCGAGCGGTGCTCTAGAGGGGGTTTGGTTGACTGACAGTGCACCGGAAATGTGGGGTGAGCAAGGCTTGGGGCTTGAAGGAGGGCCTCGGAGTGCAGAACAGGGTTTTGAGACAGCTGAAAAATCAGGGATCCAGAATGCAAAACGGGGAGGGGAAGTGGCGGAGAGGCAGCGAGGGGGGCGGGGGAAGAGAAGGCGAAGAGGGAAGGGAGGGAGAGCAGGGGCAGAGGCTAGGGAGGGTGAGGGAGGAGAGAGGGGGACAGATGGGGAAGCGGGAGGAGGAATAACAGGAGGAGGTGAAGGAAGGGGAGAAGGGGGAAGAGAAGAAGAGAGTGAGGAGGAGGGGGCAGAAGTGGAGGAGGTAGAAGGGACGAGTTTCGAGGAAGGGACTGAGAAGCTTCTGAGGGAGATGGAGCGGGAGCTTAGCACGATTGAGCAAGTGGTTCGGGCGAGTACCAGCACGGGGAGAGGAGGAGTTGTGGTTGCGAGGAAGGGAAGGGCTGATAGCGGGTCGGACAATAAGGGGGATGGTAAAAAGAGACGGAAAGGAGGCATGGGAGAGAGGATAGACACTGTGAATGGGAAGAGGAAAGGAGAGAGGGGGAAAGGGGAGGGGGGGAAGAGGCAAAAGGGAGGTGGAACGGGAGGGGCAGGTGGGAAAAGGAGGAATGTTGCTGAGGGGCAGGTGCAGCTAACTGGGTGCCCTGTGCTGTGGGGACCATGCCGTCCCTAGCTGACAGCTCCGGCGTTCTTCCGAACCTGGAGCCGCCGTTCGAGGCTGTGAGGAGGTTCGGCGCAGGCCCGGGCTGGGCGTTTGGTCCGGATGGAGGTTCGGGTGGGCCAGGTCCAAACGAGAGAGCGTGGGAGATTGATGGGGTTAGAGGTGTTAGAGGGGATGGGGACGATGCAGAAATGGAGGATAACGGAGGAGAGGTGGGATCTGGTGCTGCTTTTGGTGCTGGTGGTGGTGCTGAGGCTGGTGCAATAGCACAGTTGCAAAAGGTTGCTAGCAATGATATGTTGGGAGAAGTAGCAACGCTGACAGGTGCAAGGGGATTGGGTATAGCAATGCCGACAGGTGCACAAGTGGAGGGAGTGGCAGATGAGGTGGGAGCTGCTGGGGCAAGTGGTGGCCTTGTTGCTGCTTCAGCATACAATTGGGCAGCTTTGAAACATTCAATTGCCCTGATCTGACCACACGAACACCAGATTAGTTGTTGTTTGTTTATTCTCTTATTCTTCTTACAATACCGCATGATTGTTACCCATACTCTTCACACTGGTGAGGATACTTTGGTGCAGCTTAGCTTTCTGACGCCTTCTTGCACTTTCTGAAGTTTGAGACATCACATCACACCAAGGTTCACCAGACTTACGCCACATTTCCTCCTTGCAACTAGCATGCATGTGTTTGCTCGATGCAGCTTCTTTTTGGCCGAAAGCGCAGGGAGGCAGGAGGTGGTTACGAAGGGATGATTCAAAGCACAGGTCAGCACCCGGAACAGCCCCTGACAGACAGACAGTTCCTCTCTAGTGTCCCATCACAATGGTTCTAAGCACAAGCAAGAAGAGGTTTTCCACATAAGTTGGGATTCCCTGGTTTGAACGAGTCTCGCTGCAGTTTGCTCAGAGCAGCCGGAACAGCCCCTCTCAGCCGGTTCCCTGCCAGATTCACTTGCCATAGCCTTGCCGGCCAAACCGCGGGAATGGCACCTGACAGCCGGTTATACGACAGCCCTAGCCTCTGTAACTTTTTCATCTTGCTCATCCCCGCTGGGATTGGTCCCGTGAGAGCGTTTCTGTCGAGGAGGAGGCGCTTGAGGTTCTTAAAGGAGCTGATTGTAGCGGGGATGGGGCCGGAGAGGCGGTTGGAGAAGAGGTAGAGGTAGGTGAGGGAGGCGGAGCAGGAGGGGGAGGAGAGCGGGGTGGGCAGGCCGGAGAGGGTGTTGGAAGCGAGATTGAGCAAGGTGAGGGCCTGCTTGCCCTGGCAGAAGGCGGGGATTGGGCCTGGGGGGTGGGGTGGGGGATGGGAGGTAGGAGGGGAGAGAGCAGGGAGGAACGACAAGTCAAATCAAGCAGAGAAGTGATAGCAACAAGGGGTGCAGAATCGGGAGGAGAAAGGGGGAGGAGAAAGACGGAGCAGGAGGGGGAGGCGAGGGGGATGGGCGCGCTGGAGAGGGCGTTGAAGCGAGGTTGAGGAAGATGGGTTGGCAGAAAGAAGGCGGGGATGGGGCCTGAGGGGTGCGGAGAGGGGGGATAGCAAGGAGGAAGTTAACTGATGGGGCCTGAGGGATGGGGAAGCAGAAGCAGAGAAAAAGAGAACAGAAGGGAGAAGAGAACAGACAGCTCAAGAGAAGAAATCTTGAGCGTTTTTCCAGTCAGCTCACCTGTCAGAGCGTTTGCCCCGAGGTCCAAGTATTTAAGCTGGGGAAAACCAGTGAGACGTCGGGGAATTGTCCCTGTAAATTTGTTGAATCCGAGGTCCAGAGCAGTGAAGTCCCTAGGCAGGTTCGAAAACGGCTGCAAGCTGCCCGAAAAATTGTTGTGGCTTAGAAAGAGGCTCGGAAAGGTCCTTCCAGACTTGAAACAGTTGGCTGGAACGGCTCCTGTCAGGCGATTGTGCGAAAAGTTAGTTGCTAAGCCCCCATCGCACACCATCTGAGGAAATGCGCCCGAAAACAAATTGTCCGAAACGTCGAGGCCCGAATTGATTCCGTCGAACCGGATCGAGTTGAAGTTTCCGGTCAGCCTGTTCCCGCTTACGAAAAAGCCTCTGGACATTATTCGCTGCCCGCTCAGGTCGCCAGAAAGGCGGTTCTGACTCAAATCAATATAAAACGATTTCTTCAGCACAGCACGAGGAATATTCCCGGTTAGCCGATTCCGGGACAAAAATATCGTCGCACTGTGGTCCGGCAGCGTCGCGAGGGCAGAAGGAATCCGCCCGGACAGCCAATTATTCCTGAGATTCAGAGTATATAGCGTAGGCGCGAACGCAGCAGGACCTTGTGGTAGCCCGCCGGAGAAGAAGTTTTGGCCGGCGAGCACCTCGCTACTATACGACGGAAAGCGAAAAATGGCGGCAGGAAGAGGACCAGCGAAGCAGTTACCGCTAAGATCGAGGTACTGCAATTGTACAAGCCGGGAGATCGATTGCGGGACAGAGCCAGAAAGCCAGAGACCATTCAGACGGAGCCTAACGAGACCCGCTAACTGGCCGATAGAATCGGAAAGGGTTGCGGGGAACTTTCCGCCGGGTTCGCGCGCAGTACGGTTGCAAAGGCGAGGCGTGGGTGGGGGGTTGAGGTTCTTCGAGAGGTCTAGCATCGCAACGCTGCCGTAGCAGCAAAGCACGCCGGGCCACGTGCACGCGTCTGGCTGGTTCGACGGGATAGGTATCAGCGCGGCCGTGAATATCGCCTTGAGAGCCGCCGTTTCAGCCGCCGAAGCCGGCGACGAGTTACTGCTGGTTCCGCCCACCGCTGCCACGTCGGACGCAGATTTCATCCCGAAGTAGCAGGGATCAGTAGGTATCCTCGGTACAATCTGCCTCGATATGGGCCGGAAAGCCGTTGTCGGTGAGCAGTAGAGGAGTAGCAGGAGGAGGCACGCTGTCGTACTAGCGTGAGCGCACAACGAGTCGTGAAGAACGGTGACGGAACGCGCGACTCGAGGGTAGTAATCTACGTCCGCCATGTGTGACTTCGAGTCAAAGCAATTGCTTCCAGAGATTGTTCGCGTGAAAAGCAAAACCTACCTAGTTCAGAGTGAAACCTGAAATGGGCTTCCAGCGAGGTTTCCAGCGAGGAAGCGATAGGAGCTGAGCTTCCTGGTACTGTAATACGAAGCAATACGAACCGACTTTCCTGGCGGAGGCGATAAGATGGCGGTGGTGAGTGTCGTGGAGGTGAGTGCTCGACGTCCGCCGAATAAGAGTCCTATGTGGCAGTTTCCACGTCGGACGACACCCAGCACGTGCCATGCGATATTCTCGCCCTGCTGAGCCAGTCATTGCTGGTTCGGGTAGGAGTGCGATGCGTCGCTAAATGGTGTGAGAGAGTGATAAGGCAAATACGGCAATGGAATGAAAGGCTGCTGCTACAGCAGAAGTATGGACGAATAGAATGCACGCGACGGCACCGCGACCAACGTGTTTTCTGTCAGCTTGGCGGGGAAATGAGAGGCAGCACGAGGTAGCACTAGCAAGGAACGGCGGATGGTATGGGAGTGGAGGGGTTCAGTTGCGTTGCAGCCATGGGCTGGTTTGGCTCATTTGAATTCTGTTGGTCTGGAATGACCTGAATTGGGCTGGTTTTTGTTGGGTTGAGTTGGATTGAGCTGGTCTACTCTGGGTTCGATGATGTGAGAACACCCTAGGGGTAGGTTGGAGGGAAGGGGGTTTGGGGAGGTAAGGTTTGGAACTTTGGGCGAGACACGGGAATTGATGCAACAGAGCAGGGAAACTGATGGCGAAGGGATTTGTGAAAGGTTAAGTACGTTTTTTAGCGCTACGAGTTTTTGCAGCACGGTGAAACGTGCATTGCGTTGGTGGAAGGAAGTGAATGAATGTTTGAAAGGTCAAGTGTGGTCAAGCAAAGCTGCAGGGCGGTGATTGAGGCAAAGCTGTACGTATGGAACGGTGAGGCACCTATGGGACGGCGGCTGGGTGGAAGTGGTAGGGGTTGCGTGAGTTGCAGTTATGGTCTGGTTTGGATTCGTTGGTTTGGTTTGGGCTGGTTGGTTTGGTTAGTCTGATTTTGTTAAGGTTAGGTTTGGCTTGAGCTGGGTTTGATTCGGTGAGAGAGAAAAACGCCCACAGGGGCTGGTTGGAGCGAAGGTGGTTTGGAATGGGAAGGTTCGGCATTTGGTCAGGCAGGGGAATTGAAGTCAATACCGAAGAGATTCGTGAAAGGTGATGAACGGTTCATTAGCGCTATGGTTTGTTGCATAGAGCCAAAGTTCTAACGTTCATTGCCTTGGGGAAAGAAAGCAACCAACCGACAAATGCTATCCATTGAGGGAGATTGATAGTGAATGAATTTGTGAAAGGTCAAGTGCGGTCTATTAGCGCTGCAGGACGGTGATTGAGCCCAAGCCGTACTTGGCTTATCACCCGTCGCAAATCCCACTGCCATTCCTCCGATGTCACCTGAACCCTCCTAACTCTCGTTACCTCGCACTTTAGGAGCATGTTGTCCTTCAGGAAGTACTAGTATGGAGCACAGTGGAGCAGGTTGTTGCAACATATGTTACCACTGCTCGTAACGAAACTACTCGTTAGTCGACTCAGATTTTCCTTGCAAATTCGATTTGTTTTCCTGCGGACACCCGCATTAGTCGGTAGCAGTAACGCGATCCCTTACACCTGATCGTCTCACAACAGCAGCATTCGTTAAAGCGGCATCATCTACAGAAGCGTTCGTACAGGCTAGCGCAATGCCTTTAGCGCTACTCGTTATCGCGTATCGCGGACGTGTGAGGAGGAACGGAAGGTGGTGCGAGCGAGTCAACTGGGACCAGTCGCCACTCGCGAGTCCATATCCTGAAATCGACCAGGGTGTGTGCCGTTATCCTCGGATATTATCAACCGTCATAACATTTCTCGTTTTCGCGTTCTCATGGGCGTCCCGCGAGGAGTGAGAGGCAGTGAAGGCTACTCGCGAGTTTATATCCTTTGGAATTGCCTGGGTAGGCGCTAGGTGCACCTGTATCCCCGCCGTAGTGTAATCCGTCATCCGTTTTCGCATTCTGTAGGTTTGGGTCGTGATCCGCAATCTTCTAAACCTTCAGCTTTGCCTGGCGCCCGTTATAGCATCAACCGTCATCGCGTTTTGTGAGTGTCCTGGAATAACTTTTTGCTAATTGAATGAGGGATGGGGGAGGAAATGCTTCCTGAGACTTGAAAAAAAAAGCACAAATCTCGTTCCCTCCCTACACCCCACCCTTGGGATTTTCTCCACTTTTCGGTCTGCCGGGTTTGGGAAATTTCAAGCTACCAAACCTTGAACCATGTTCCTTCCCTCCCTGCTCCCCCCCACCCTTGGGATTGTCTCCACTTCCGAACAGCCTGGTTCATGACGACTCAACACACGAGATCTCGAACCCTGTTTCCTCCCTCCCCTCCACCCCTCCCTTAAAGCCCAAGACCTGAATTACAAAGCCCAAGACCCAAGCCCGAGCCCACAGTTGACTTCCCGAGCCTCTCTGGTTACCAAAATGACGCCCCGCCAAAAACCAGGGAGTCGTAGAGCAGCGGAGGTTTGGTTGGCGAGAGTCCCAACCGTTCCCTCCTGAAAGGAGTAGGGCAAGCTGTGCACAGTTTGGAAATTGTTGTAATTCAGGTCAAGCTCGACCACATAGTATGCACGAGAAACTCCTAGGTAGAACAGAAAGCCAATAAAGCTGGAGCCCACTCCTAGGTAGTATGCATCTCGTCTCCAAGGTCGATACTAATAATCATACGGTCGATCGCTGTCATTTCCCGCGCATTCGCCCTATGTTTGCATCAGCTCTATTCCCCTCCCGCGCCTCCTCGTCGACGTCACACCCTGCCACCCACGCTTCCCCTCGTCGACGTCGCCGTGCCCCATTACGTCGCTACTTTTACGTCTTCGATCGCACTCTTCCTCAGTTGTCTCCCCACCACTCCCCACTCTCCTCACAGGGTTACCCACTCGGTCGCCCTGGCTTCGTCCTACTGCCGACATCGTGTTTGATTGTATCGCCTTCCGCGTCCCCCACGCTTCCCCCCACCGTCCCCCACGCTTCCCCCCAGCGTCCCCCACGCTTCCCCCCACCGTCGCCAACGCTTCCTCCCGCTGTCGCTCACACTTCACTCCGTCGTTGCCCACACTACCCCTCCCGTCACCCACCTTCACCGCCGTCCACGCTTTCCCCCTGTCGCCCACGCTTCCTCCCACCGTCGCCCACGCTTCCTCCGACCGTCGCCCACGCTTCCTCCCACCGTCGCCCTCGCTTCCTCCCACCGTCGCCCACGCTTCCTCCCACCGTCGCCCTCGCTTCCTCCCACCGTCGCCCACGCTTCCTCCCACCGTCGCCCACGCTTCCTCCCACCGTCGCCCACGCTTCCCCCCACCGTCGCCCACGCTTTCCCCCTGTCGCCCACGCTTCCTCCCACCGTCGCCCACGCTTCCTCCCACCGTCGCCCACGCTTCCTCCCACCGTCGCCCTCGCTTCCTCCCACCGTCGCCCACGCTTCCTCCCACCGTCGCCCTCGCTTCCTCCCACCGTCGCCCACGCTTCCTCCCACCGTCGCCCACGCTTCCTCCCACCGTCGCCCACGCTTCCCCCCACCGTCGCCCACGCTTTCCCCCACCGTCGCCCACGCTTTCCCCCACCGTCGCCCATGGCAGGTGGTGGTGCGGCTGTGGAGCAGAGTGTTGGGCGCACAGCCAGGGCAGCGCGTGCAGGCGGGCAGCAAGGAGTGCAGTGCTGCAGGGGGCGGGTTAGGGGAGGCGGAGCGGGGGAGGCGGGGGTTAGGGAGAGAGGGTGCAGGGATCCTCCTATCCCCCTTATACCCTGCCACACTCTTACCTCCTGCCCTCCTCCCTTCCTCCGTTTTGTGGGGCCCCCACAGTCGTCCTCCTCTCCCTCTCTCTTCCTCCCTTCCTCCATCTATCCCACACTCTCTGCCTCACTACCCTCTTTCCCCTTTCTGTTGCCCGTTCTTCCTCCCTTCCTCCCGCCCTCCCTTCCTGCCATTCTCCCTCTCCTCATCCTCCCTCGATCCAGTCCCCCTTTCCCTTTCCATTTCCCACTCGCCCACTCCCTTCCTCACGCCAACCCTGCTCCTCCGTTCCACCCATCCTCTCATCCGCCTATCCTCTCATCCGCCCATCCTCTCATCCGCCTATCCTCTCATCCGCCCATCCTCTCATCCGCCTATCCTCTCATCCGCCCATCCTCTCATCCGCCTATCCTCTCATCCGGCCATCCTCTCATCCGCCCATCATCTCATCCGCCCATCCTCTCATCCGCCCATCCTCTCATCCGCCCATCCTCTCATCCGCCCATCCTCTCACCCGCCCATCCTCTCATCCTCCCTCCCCTCCCAACCCTCTGTCTCCTCCCTCGCCTCCTCTCCTTCGTCACCACCTCTCCTCCCTCTTCGCCTCCCATTCCACATCTCCGCTGTGCAGATTGTGGCATCAGCACCCGGGTTTCAAGAGAGTTTCTGTCCCCTCTTGTTCCCATCCCTCCAATCCTTAGCTCCTCTTCACCCCATCTCCTCCCTTCCCTCGAACAAGCTCGCTCATTCCCCTCCCGTCACCCACGCACGCACCCTCCCCTCGACCTACAAGTCGTTCTCCGCTTCCGTCGCATACGCGTTCATTTCCCCTTCCCTCATCTCCAAATTCCTCATCTCCCCTTCCCTCATCTCCCCATCCCTCATCTCCCCATTCCGCCTCACCCCATTCCGCCCCACCCCATTCCGCCCCACCCCTTTCTGCCCCACCCCATTCCGCCCCACCCCTTTCTGCCCCACCCCATTCCGCCATGCCATCCTACTTCTCATCCCCTTTTCCTCGTTTCCCCATCCCTCGTTCCCCAATCCCATCATTCCCCGTGCCAACTTTCACCATTCCACCATACGGTCATACCCCATTCCGCCCTCTTCCTCCCCTCCCTTCTGCTTCTCCCCCAAGCGTCCTTCCTACCTCCCTTCCTCCCATCATCACTTCCTGTCTTCCTTCATTCCTGCATTCCTCACTTCCTCCCTTTCTCCGTTCCTCCCTTCCACTTGCCAGTTGTCATTCTTTTGCATGCTTGCTTCCCTTATACTTCAGCCACGCCACATCTGACTTCTTGGTTTGTGTTTGGACAGGTTTGCTCTGCATCTGGTGGTGATGTGATGGCTGTCTCATAGTAACACGACGTATAGCCATGCCATGTATTGGATCCATTTTTATAATACAGGACTATGAGCCTCGGAGCAGTCATACACATGACCAATACCAAGGAGTTCAACAATTATTATATTACCATATCTGTAAATTAAGGGGAATCACTCCACTCGAGTAGGGAACAATGCTAGGGGTTGTGCGTGCAATGTTGCTTCCCGGTTTTGACTGCTACACTCCAAGCAATAATCCAGGCAGTGGTAAAGCCACATCTGGTGCTGGGCACCTGTAACTGCATTTGGGGGTATGGTGGTGAGTGAAGGGGGAATGACAGCAAACGGAATGAGCAGAGGGGAAGAGAAGAAGCAGCGGGGGACAGATTGAACAGAGGGGAAGAGAGGAAGCAGGGGGGAACAGAGTGAGCAGAAGTAAAGAGAGTGAGCAAGGGGGAAGAGAGTGAGAAGAGAAGAAGGGGAGGGAGCAAGGGTGAAACAGAGGGAGCAAGGGTGATTCAGAGGGAGCAAGGGTGATTCAGAGGGAGCAAGGGTGATTCAGAGGGAGCAAGGGTGATTCAGAGGGAGCAAGGGTGATTCAGAGGGAGAAAGGGTGATTCAGAGGGAGCAAGGGTGATTCAGAGGGAGCAAGGGTGATTCAGAGGGAGCAAGGGTGATTCAGAGGGAGCAAGGGTGATTCAGAGGGAGCAAGGGTGATTCAGAGGGAGCAAGGGTGATTCAGAGGGAGCAAGGGTGATTCAGAGGGAGCAAGGGTGATTCAGAGGGAGCAAGGGTGATTCAGAGGGAGCAAGGGTGATTCAGAGGGAGCAAGGGTGATTCAGAGGGAGCAAGGGTGATTCAGAGGGAGCAAGGGTGAAACAGAGGGAGCAAGGGTGAGCAGGGAAGGGGATGGGGGGAAGCAGGGAAGGGGATGGGGGAAAGCAGGGAAGGGGATGGGGGGAAGCAGGGAAGGGGATGGGGGGGTTTAGGGAAGGGGATGGGGGGATGCTGGGAGGGGGACGGGGGGAAGGAGGGAAGGGGACGGGGGGAAGCAGGGAAGGGGAATGGGGGAAGCAGGGAAGGGGATGAAGGGGAAGCAGGGAAGGGGATGGGGGGAGGCAGGAAAGGGGACGGGGGGAAGGAGGGAAGGGGACGGGGGGAAGCAGGGAAGGGGAAGGGGGGAAGCAGGGAAGGGGATGGGGGGAGGAAGGGAAGGGGACGGGGAGAAGGAGGGAAGGGGACGGGGGGGAGCAGGGAAGGGGAACAGGGATGGAGATGGGGGGGAACAGGGATGGAGATGGGGGGGAACAGGGATGGAGATGGGGGGGAACAGGGATGGAGATGGGGGGGAACAGGGATGGAGATGGGGGGGAACAGGGATGGAGATGGGGGGGAACAGGGATGGAGATGGGGGGGAACAGGGATGGAGATGGGGGGGAACAGGGATGGAGATGGGGGGGAACAGGGATGGAGATGGGGGGGAACAGGGATGGAGATGGGGGGGAACAGGGACGGAGATGGGGGGGAACAGGGATGGAGATGGGGGGGAACAGGGATGGAGATGGGGGGGAACAGGGATGGAGATGGGGGGGAACAGGGATGGAGATGGGGGGGAACAGGGATGGAGATGGGGGGGAACAGGGATGGAGATGGGGGGGAACAGGGACGGAGATGGGGGGGAACAGGGACGGAGATAGGGGGGAACAGGGATGGAGATGGGGGGGAACAGGGATGGAGATGGGGGGGAACAGGGATGGAGATGGGGGGAACAGGGATGGAGATGGGGGGGAACAGGGATGGAGATGGGGGGGAACAGGGATGGAGATGGGGGGGAACAGGGATGGAGATGGGGGGGAACAGGGATGGAGATGGGGGGGAACAGGGATGGAGATGGGGGGGAACAGGGATGGAGATGGGGGGGAACAGGGATGGAGATGGGGGGGAACAGGGATGGAGATGGGGGGGAACAGGGATGGAGATGGGGGGGAACAGGGATGGAGATGGGGGGGAACAGGGATGGAGATGGGGGGGAACAGGGATGGAGATGGGGGGGAACAGGGATGGAGATGGGGGGGAACAGGGATGGAGATGGGGGGGAACAGGGGTGGAGATGGGGGGGAACAGGGGTGGAGATGGGGGGGAACAGGGATGGAGATGGGGGGGAACAGGGATGGAGATGGGGGGGAACAGGGATGGAGATGGGGGGGAACAGGGATGGAGATGGGGGGGAACAGGGATGGAGATGGGGGGGAACAGGGAAGAAGGGAAGGGTGTATGTGTGGGTTGGAAAGGGGGAGTGACAAGTGTGCGAGATGGGAAGGGAGAAGGGAGGGATGGCGAGGGCAACGACGAGAGGAAGGGAGGGCGACGGGGAAACCGAGGGCGACGGGGGGAGAGAGAGACGGGGATTGCGAGGGGACGAGCGGGAGCGAGTGTGACGAGCGGCAGGGAGGGCGACGAGACGAAGGGGGGCAGCGGGCGGAAGGGAGGGAAAGAGAGCGTGAATGGGGAAATGAAGGCGACGGGAGGGGGAAATGAAGGCGACGGGAGGGGGAAATGAAGGCGACGGGAGGGGGATTGAAGGCGACGGGAGGGGGGAGTGAAGGCGAAGGAAGGAGGAAGTGAAGGCAAAGGGAGGAGGAAGTGAAGGCGAAGGGAGGAGGAAGTGAAGGCGAAGGGAGGAGGAAGTGAAGGCAAAGGGAGGAGGAAGTGAAGGCAAAGGGAGGAGGAAGTGAAGGCGACGGGAAGGGGAAATGAAGGCGGGGGAAGAGGGGGGGGAGGGGGGGGAGGGAAGGTGACGGGGAAGAAGTGAAGGCGACGGGGGGGAAGTGAAGGCGACGGGCGGAGCGAAGGCGACGGGCTGGGGTCGCGAACGCGACGAGCTGCGGAAGCGATGGCGACGACGCGGGCGACAGAGAGCGGAAGCGTGGGAAAGGAAAGCAAGTGCGAGGGTAGGGTCACGTTTGGGCGAACGGTTGCGATTCGATTTTCGCCGCGAGTTTACGCTACGGTGTAGTTGCACAATAACCTGCATTTTGACACAAAAATCTTCACCCAGCGAACACTAGCTTTGCACGCCGTCATCGAATCTGCGTCACCGACATCGTAAGGCGCATCTGATCCCTTTTGAGTGAACGCCGACGCCCTGCCCTGTCTACAGGTATGGTCTATGCCTAATACTCTGCATGCTATCTCAAACTGTGCACAGTTTGGTATGCTCGCGCTTTTCTGGTTGTGGGAAGGACCCCACCCATTATGGGAAGCGAGAAACTTTTGTCGCAAATTGGTTTCGCGAGTGAAAGTCTCTCGCAACCCAACCGAACCTCTCCGTGCCTGCCTCCCGAACCTAACTTTTAGCGTTGACTTTCGTTGAGTAATTCAGGTCTTGGGCTTTAAAATTGTCCCCACCTTTTGGTCTGCCAGCTGCCTGAAAACACGAAACCCAGCCCCATTTCCCCCCTCCCATCCACCCCACCCTTGGAATTTACCCCACCTTTCGGCCTGCCAGGTTTGGAACATCTTAAGATTCTAAACCCCAAACCCTTTTCCTCTTCCCTTCCCTGCACCCCACCCTTGGGATTCTTCCGACATTTCTAACTGCCAGGTGTCAGCATGGCAGATCAGGGGGCGGGTTCCGGCTTCTGTGGACGTGACAGCTGGCATGCTCGCCGTGCAGCTGCAGGACCCGGACCTCTGTAGGTTCGGGGATGCAGGTTCATTTTGGGGCGGAGGTTCGGAGCCGTACGTTTGGGTGGCGTGGGTCTGGAATGGTGCTGTGGGCGGGGTTTATGCTCGGGTCGTGTTCAAAAAGTTCATGTGATTTAAATGCGGTTGAGTGAGGTGCTGTACATTCTAGAGCGGTTGGGTAGAGTATGGAGCGAAGGACAAACTTGGGATACACACTGGAAAACAACACGCTGGCATGCTGGCTCGGCCTCCCCTCTCCTCCCTCCCCCTCTCTTCCTCTCTCTCCCTCACTCCCTCACTCCCATTGCTATGCCCCCCCACATGAACTTCCGGTGTAAAAAACCTTCCCACATTCCCTCCTCCTGGATGGGTCCCTGCATTCCTGTATCCAACCAACCCCCACTTTCATGTCCCCCCACAAGGCACGCATGGGTCTCGACGATCGTCCCATCCCCCCCCTCCCCTTTACCTCAGGCCGCACATCCATCGCCCAACGTGGTGCCTCCGCTCCCCCCGTTCGTGCTCCGCCAGTCTTATGCTGCCGTCATCATCAGGTCAGTCAGATTGAACCCAAACCACACAGTTGATTTGAAAGGGGTTCTGTGCGGTTTGTGCCCCGCCAGCCAGTCAGTCATATGCTGTTGAGATCATGAGGTCAACCAATCAATCTGAGGCTTAGCCCAACGCACATGCTGTGCCATGTCACACTTGCCACTGTCGAGCCGCTTGCCCTCATGATGGAATTGCTGAGGGGTTATGTGCGGTTCGTGCTCCGCACCGCCAGCCAGTCATGCCCGCCGTGGTCATCAGGTCAGTCAGTCAGCTACATCCTTCCCATCCCAACACACACAACGTACGAGATATTCGGCACGTCGTGTACCATATGTTTGTGACGTGAGTGCGGAGCGGTTCTGCTGCGTCGGTATGCTGCAACTTGAAGCTTGTCGATATGCGCTTCGTGCTCCGCCAGTCATGCGCTGCTGTCACTTGTCGCTTCTTCGGTTTCCGTCCTCATTCCTGCCACGTGTAGGCTCAATCCCAAGAGGGGTCAAGAGTGGTCATGAGGGTTCATGAGGGGCGATGAACGGCCACGAGTCTTCTGCCTCTTCATTCAACCCATTAGTAGGTCTATTCTGTACTTCCACGGTTCCACCCGTTCCTCCATGCGCTGCCACGTGTAGGTTCGTGAGTGGTCTGTGTGACAACAGCAATCCAGCCAGCACTGAGTCAGTGGTGAGGGTGGCAGCACACGTGGCATTGTGGCACACGAGGGCACCCCCTGACAGGTGGTGGGTGGAGGTGTGGCATTGTGAGTCTTGACTAGCAGTAGTGGGTGGGGTGGGGTGGGGTGGGTGGTCAGTTAGTCTGTTTCAGTCAGTTCAGTGGCACGTAAGCATCCCCACGCTGCTGGTTGGCGTCAGGCACGGTATGGCTTAGATTGTAGTCTGAGTGGAGGGTGGTGGAGGGTGGTGGAGGGTGGTGGAGGGTGGTGGCGGCTCACATGGGCATCCCGCTCTTCTTCTCTGTATCCCCTCCATTCCACAGCTCTGGCCCACAATCGCCTGCTGCAGCTGCCGGTGCTGCGACTGGCAGTCACTCAGATGAGAGGAAGGGGTGTGCATGGATGGCGGTTGGGAAAAGGGAGAGAGTTACACAGGGAGTGAATGAAAGGGTTGGTCGAGAGGGAGGGAGGTCGAGAGGGAGGAAAGAAAGGGTTGGTCGTCTGGTCGTTCCGATACCCATGCGTGCTGCGACGGCCCACCTCCCTTCAACTGCCTCGTGCAGAGCGGCACCACTGACAGTGGGTGGTTACCAGGTAACTCCCACAGCGTGCATCCATCCCAGGGGCAGCAGCTTCTGGTACCGCCTGCATCCCTCAGGCCTGGGCTGGCCCAAAGCATTTGACTTGGCAGCAAGAGATTGATTGCGCCAATGGGTGTCTGCCAGTTGGCGGGTATTGTGAGCGGGGAGAAAAAAAAAAGGTTCAGGAGCATTCGTGCTTGTATTGTGCAATGGATGGCTTGTACACTAACTTATGTTTTTAGTCATTTTTGTAAGTTGGACAAATCATAATGGTACTTTTGATGAGCCATATTTCCACCTTGGAACTCGCTCGCTGAGGTTTTGCTCGGCGAAGCATGCTCTTAACCAGAGAGAGCACGTATCGTACAAGGCGGTGACAGGGGGGACGGGAGGGGTGTGGGGGGGTGAAGGGGGTCCTGCATACAGTGGATGCAAAGCAAAGCAAGCAGGGGTGTTCGTCACAAGCTGCACCGTAGTTCCCTTTGCAGCCTGCTTAGAGCATGGCCAGTCAATCAGGGGTTACCTATATTTAATTAGATATACGGTACAGGTGATTATATCCACAAGCAAGGATCGTCCTAAGCACAAGCAGGCAACGGTGTCCCACACAAGTTGGGGTTCCCCGGTTCTAAGCATAGGCAGGGAGCGCGGTGCGGTCCCATACGAATTGCCGGTCTCTAGTTTGCCTAGCTTGCTCACACAGCCGCCGAAACAGCCCCTGCTAGCCGGTTCCTCGCTAGTGTCCCATCGAAATGGCTCTAAGCACAAGCAGGCAGCAGCGGCTGGGGTTCCCTGGTTTGTAAGAGCCTCTTTTGAGCTTCCTCAGGGCAGCCGGAACAGCCACTGACAGCCGGTTCCCCTGCCAGTGTCCCATTGAAATGGCTCTATGCACACGCAGGCAACGGTGCCCCGCACAAGTTGGGGTTCCCTGGTTTGAACGAGCCCCGCTTCAGCTTGCTCAGAGCAGCCGGAACAGCCCCTCTCAGCCGGTTCCCTGCCAGCTTCACTTGCCATAGCCTTGCCGGCCAAACCGCGGGAATGGCACCTGAAAGCCGGTTATATGACAACCCTAGCCTCTGTAACATTCCCATCTTGCTCACACCGGCTGGGATCGGTCCAGTGAGGGCGTTGTTATCGAGGCGGAGGCGCATGAGGTTTCTAAAGGAGCCGATTGTAGCGGGGATGGGGCCGGAGAGGCGGTTGGAGGAGAGATAGAGGACCTGAAGGGAGGCGGAGCAGGAGGGGGAGGAGAGCGGGGTGGGCGGGCCGGAGAGGGCGTTGGAGGCGAGATTGAGGAAGGTGAGGGATTGCCCTCCCTGGCAGAAGGCGGGGATGGGACCTGGGAGGTGGGGTGGGGGATGGGAGGTAGGCACAAGCACAGGGATAGAGAAGGGAGATACGAAGAGTCAATGCAAGCAGAGAAGTGATTGCAGCAAGGGGTGCAGGATCGGGAGGAGAGAGAGGGAGCAGGAGGGAGAGACAGGGGGGTGGGCGGGCCGGAGAGGGCATTGTATTGTAGGCGAGGGGGCTGGAGAAAGAAGGCGGGGACTCGATGGGGCCTGAGGGGTGCGGAGAGGGAACAGAAAGCTCATCGGAACGAAACAGTGAGAGTTTTTCCAAGCAGCTCACCTGTCAGAGCATTTGCCCCGAGGTCCAAGTAATGAAGATGGGGTAAACTGGCGAGGCCCCGGGGAATTTTCCCGGATAGCCGATTCGAGTTCAAATGTATCTCTTCAAGGTACGGCAGCGTCGCGAGGGCAGCAGGGATCGGCCCGGACAGCCTGTTATAACCGAGATCCAGAGTCCTTAGCGAAGTCGCCGCGTACGCAGCAGGACGTTGTGGTAACCCGCCCGAGAAGAAATTTTGGGCGGCTTTCACATTTATAAGACTCGGATTGCGAAAAAAGGCGACAGGAAGAGGACCAGCGAAGCAGTTTTCGCTAATTTCGAGGTTCGTGAGTATTGTAAGCCGGGAGAACGATCGCGGGACCGAGCCAGAAAGCCAGAGACCCTTCAGAGACTGACGAGACGCGATAACTGGCCGATAGAATCGGAGAGGGTTGCGGGGAACTTTCCGCCGGGTTCGCGCGCAGTACGGTTGCAAAGGCGAGGCGTGGGTGGGGGGTTGATGTTCTTAGAGAGGTCTAGCATGGTAGCAGCGTTGGCAACGCAGCAAGTCACGCCGGGCCACGCGCACGCGTCTGGCTGGTTCGACGGGATAGGTCATCGGAAAAATGTCCGCCCAGTTTGGGGCGGTTGACAGTCGAGGAGGTGAAGCAGCGTGGGAGTTGATGGTCGTGTACCCTAAACGCTCGGATTCTGCAGGTTGCGATCGTTTTACGACAGGGTCGTCAACCACATCAGCTCAATGTGTGATGTTCGGTTGGCCACGTGGACTGTAGGAACAGCTTCGATTGTGTCAGGGAATGGTGGTACACACCATTGTGACGAACAGTTGGGAACAGTGTACGATATGGTTACCTGAGTAACATATGTCAAATTGTAACTATATAAATTAAATGTTCCGCCCTGTATCGAGTAATTATATTTATACGTAAAATGCGCGCATCGATATAATCACGGTTTGGACGTGTGAAATGATGTGATTGTATGCGGCAAATATCAATCTATTTTAAATCATTGCTACAAAACACAAAAGCAATATTGAGAGCAAAAAAAATCTAGCTGATTAAAATTGGCAAAATTAGAAGATCTACCTTACATTATGTAAAAGCTGCATAATATCAATGACAACTTCACTAATCACATATTGTTAACAGGAGGCCAGGGGGTTGGAACGACCCCAGAGGGGAAGAAAAACAGCTCATAGCCCTCAATCAAAATCCTAACCTTCCCAACACCCATCTCGAACCCCATGGGCTCATCGATCTTGAATGTGGCAGGCTCCCTGTCAAGGGTTTCCTTCAGCCATGCCGCAACCACCCTCGTCTTGGCATGCACGTTGTTGCGGTTGTTGGTCTCGTTGTTGTCAAGTGATGCATAGCCCTTCTTGCCCTTGTGATTCTCCAATGGCCATTCAACCTGCCACCAATGAACTCGTTATTAGTTAAAAACAATGCCGCCAGGGATTAACAATATGGATAAAATCACAAGCGACTTCTTACCACGTTGCACAGATAGCCGACTGCAGGAATCTTAACTGCAAACATGTTGCACCGGGCACTGACAAATGCCTTCTTGACTGCCAGCTCGAAGCCCGCATTCGCAAAAGGTCGGCCCTGAGCAGAGCAGTGCCAGTCGTAGCCATACTTCGCTGCAGAGGTAAAACGATGGCAATCAGATATGGGAGCTATAGCATACCAGCAAGGTGTTAAGGTTTCAACCGAACAGAATACTCACGATGTTTAAACTTCTCGACCCACTCCTTCTCATCACGCGCCTGTGTTGGAATGATGCCACCAACCTTCAAGAGGAACCACTTTTCCTTGTCAATGACGCCACCAGCACCCCACGCCCAGAGCTTGATCGGCTTGTTCATGTTCGCACGTTTGCAGCCGATCACCTTCAGCGCCCGTTCAATGCGCTTGCTGTTCCCGCCCATGAAGAGGTAGTACTCATCTTGCGTGGTCCCCTCAGCTATGTACTTGCGCACCAAATGCGGCTGGAATTCTTCCCACAGTGGATAGAACTCCATGTCTCCTGCAGGGGCAAGGGTGATGAGCCAGGCGAAGGTTTTACCCACCATTTCCTGACAAACACAAAGAAGCAGACGGAAGGGGGGTTACATTGAGGCACCAGACATGCTTTACACATGATCATGGAATGTACTTTGAAAATAATAGAGGGCAGAGGGAGAGGGGACGAGGGCGGGAAGCAGGGGGGAAGGTAGGGGGCGGGATTCAAGAAACAAGAGCAGCTACGACAACGCACGGCATAAAATACATTCCACTAAAATCACATCGAGAGTAATTATACTCACATCGAACGCATCATCGCTGCTGAGCGATGACAGAATGATCGGGTTTAAGGCACCGTCCTTACGGACGTTCTCCATTCGGACATGTGGGTCAGAAGGGTCCCGAACCGCACCCACGTCCGTGCTCGTTCCAGCGACTTCCACGGAAAGCTGTCGCTGCATCGACTCCAGCTGCACTTTCAGACGGTCACGTTCAGCCTCCACCGTCTTGATCTTGGTCCTTGCCTCCTGCAGCTGAGCTTGAAGCACAGACACCGTGTTCTGCAGGTCACGGAGTTGAGCCTCCAGTTGTCGTGCTTCCCTGAAATGGTGCGCACCAGCAACTAAAAGACACGCACGGTGGATAACACGCACCGACAAACGTAATGACAACAAGGAGTTATAATTAGGGAGACACTAAACCAACGGTGTAAAGGCAGTGAACAAGTTAAGCATGCAAACAGCTATACGGAATGCTCTTGAAGATAACACGAAGGGAGGGAGGGGCCGAGTGCGGGCGGGGGGGAGAGAGGTTCGAAGAGATTCACAACGTATTCACGAAATGACCAGGGGTTAAAGTGCATCGTTACCTTGCGACCGTTCACGCCTTGCGGGAGCTGCCGTTTCATTCTGATGCGACGTGGGTGTTGCCTTATCCGTCTGGCAAACCTCCGCTGCGCGCAACTCCGCTGAGCGCAACTCCGCTGCCCGCGCCTCTGCTGCGCGCAACTCCGATGCGCGAAGCTCCGCGGCGCGAAGCTCCGCTGCGCGCATCTCCGATGCGCACAACTCCGCTGCGCGAACCTCCGCTTCGCGCAACTCTGCATCAGTTCCCGCTTGAGCACCGACAGCATCATCCGCATCGTCATCGTTGAGCTCGTCGTCATCGCTACCAGCCTCAATGCCGAAATCGCCGAACGGAATCGCGCCTCCCTCCTCAGCGGCCTCCAGGACTGCTGTCATCATCGGACCCGGAGCGTACACCCCGGCAGCAGAGGCGGGTGCAGGGAGAGCTCGGGTAGCGGCCTCACGTGCACTGCAGACTAGGCCGCCAGCGAGAGGAGCGGCCTCACGAGAACTGCAGCCTACGCCGCCAGCGAGAGGAGCGGCCTCACGAGCACTGCAGCCTATGCCGCCAGCGAGAGGAGCGGCCTCACGTGCACTGCAGCCTACGCCGCCAGTGAGAGGAGCGGCTTCGGGTGCACTGCAGGCAACGCCACCAGCGGCGTTATTGAGATCCTCAGATGCGAGAGCCAGTGTAGGCGAGATCGCGACTCCAGTATCGGCAGGGGAGGGTTCGCCGGCGGAATCAGGGGCAGCGGAGGTTGCACCAGCGGGAATTTTGCCATTCGAAGAGTTAGCACGACCGCGCCCTGCTCCGCCACGTTTGCTCTGCCGGCCTCCCCGACGGACTGGAGGCGCTGCCTGAGCAGCTTCCTGAACACCGTGAAAGGTGTTGACAGCTCCTTTCTTGATTGCAGCCTCCTTAGCTAGCAGTTTACGCCTCTTGATCTCCTGCGTAAGAACATCATCGTCGAGCTGAGATAGAGCTGATGGATCTAGAAGATTGAGGTTGGAAAGAGGGTGGGGTAAGGTGACCCCAGCTGCATCGGCTGTAACTCTTTTGCTGTTGCCTGCCCAAGAGAAGTTTCCCGCGCTTGCTGCCATTCTGATGTGGAGATCGATGGTTCACGATGACTTTAGAGTACCGCTTGGAGTAATTGTGGTAAAGCACACAGTTTTTGAAATATATTTAGCATGGTAGGGGCTTCCATGCTTTGCCTACTGTGAATGGTTCCGTACGAGCAAAACCTTGTTATCCCACCTTCCCAAAGTAATATACTTAACAAAAACTCGATGTTGGCGGAAACGACAAAACTTAAGAGTAGGAAACACGACTGTCGCGTTTCCTGATACGGACTCACATCGCAAGAGACATTGAATATAAAAAAACTTGCAGTCTTTCGGAATGTAGACCTTGCACCCTTAATAATGCCATGGGTTCGAAACTGAATGGTTTCCCTAAGCAGCTTCTGTCAAAACGTGAGCGGAGTAGCAAGTGAAAAAGTAATGCAATAAACTAACCCTTATGACAAAGGCCCGCACAGGACGTGAACCGCGCGATGACGCAGTCAAGCCGATCGGGTTTTTTTTTCCTTCCAAGTGCCCTACAGTCACACCGTCTGTAATATCATGGGTCCTGGAGTCCTTGCCAAGCACAGCTGTGCAGAAGATGCGATGAGGTCCCACGTGTGCGACACGCACTGTACAAAGGAATGGTCGAAAATGTTTGGAAACATCCAGATGCCTCGCAAAGTTGCTTGACGTGCTGCCAGCGCATCATGTGATACATTGCATCAGGTGAAACAGCGCCTTGCTGTATCACCACGATACCCAACCCATGACTTCCGCTAAACCACACCTGCACTGGAACGATCCAGCGCGGCACCGCCAACAGCGCAGGTGCGTGACACAGTGAGGTTCGATGTCAGTACACCCGTTGCATTCGTCGGTCGCGTGAGGCCACTATCCTTGCAACGACGGTGACTCAATAACGGAGTGTTGCGACTGTAAACGCTGGTTTTGTGTGTGCTAATAAATATTTACAAACAAACCCATGAAGGGCTTATTAAACAGCCTTCGTGGCAAATGTTGTTGACAAGGCATTTGTCAACGAGACCAAGGATTGGAGAGTCACCATGCAAACCTATTAACCAGCCACTTGTCCGCGTTTTTGTCTGGCCGCACCAACTGAACCGCTCGCTTGATACTATTAATACTAATCACTCGATACCTCTGCTGAGAGGACTCCAAGTGCAAGACCTTGCACTTGGTAGCTGCATCAACCCTGGCCTGCTCCCTGTAGTACTTGATAAACGCATAGTTCTTTGTTGTGCCCCCGACGTTTGCATGAAACAACAGCAGTGTCTTCGCAAACCAATCCTCGTCCCCGTCAGAGCCCTCACCCTTTACCGCCACATCAGAATACCATTGCCGACCGTGATGCATGGGCAGGGCGCGGATGCGATGAGGCAGGCGGCTATATTGTGCATCAACCGCGGCTGGCATGGCGAGTTCCCAATGGACCTGCAATGGTACAACAACCGGAAAGTGTCAGATTGTTAATGACCAACGTGGTTTGCTACGACAGTGTTGGATGGCGTACGTACATGTACTTCTTTTATTTCTTCCCCGTTGCCATCGCAGTCAGGTGCCCTATCCAAGGCCGATCGCAAGTGCTTCAAGTCCTCCCCAATTATGGCCTGCAACGGGCCATCACGCTTCGCGTCCGGTACCTGAGGGTACGGGGTTGCGTTATCCGTGTCGGGCACGTGTAATGTCCAACTCCTCTTGGACATAACTCGCTCGCCTGTCCGTTGGGCCTGCACACAATGCAACGCTTGGTCAGTCCGTAATGCATATGCAATGAGGGATCTACACGTGATAGTAAACTAAAGATTCAACTACACACTTACCTTCACCATGGCTGTGTCATACTTCTTCTTCTTCTCGAGCTGTGGAGCGATGAATTGGAGACGAAGACGCGCCTCCTCGCTGCCCACGATCTGGCTATTGACTGACCTTTTATTGGACGCCCTGTACGGGTTTTTTATGTACTCTATGTGCAGGTGCTCGTACAGTTGCGCCGAGTAATGCTCGGGCAACCCCGACCTACGAATAGAGTCTATGTAGTGACTTATGAGGTGCATTTTTATGAAATTCCAGTCTGAAGTGTGTGGGAAGGCGGTCTTGAGGTTGTGTAACATCCTGCGTCAAGGTGAGATATGTAGCGATTAGTGTTGGATAGATCAGCAAATGTTGATAGCAAAGTGCACTACACAACTCACATGTGTGCCTTCGTCTTGAACTCAATGAGGGTGGTCTCGGTGTGCTCCGATGCCCGCGCGCACTCGAGATACCACTCGATGTACGAGACGAGTGCGTCCATCTGCTCCTGGGTGATAAATCCCTTCATAATGAAGGGAAGTATCTGCATGACAGAACGGTGCTCGTAGGCCTGGTAGTTTGCCCCCTTTTCGAAGTACTGGCCTGATGGCAACCGCATGTTCCCCCCCCTTATGTTCTTCTTGTAGTACCTAAGAATTATGTCTAGTTTCTTCCTATCTGCCAGTAGCTTCACATGCACTCGAATGAAGTCTACAATGTGCTCGAAAATGCCCAAATCCGCTTGGTGCATCACATCGGGCAGCACCGCAAGGTACGGGTTCAGAATCGTGTCAGACTCCCACCTCCAACCGCTAAGGAAACTCTGCACAAGTCAAAACCAGCACGGTGGTCATCGTAAGATTAGGGCATAAAGGTATGGAGCAGCCCTATAGAAAAACCCGTAACGATCTTTACCTGCACTGGGTGTGTGGACAATGTCGCGTCTGCATCATGTGCGACCCGGCCTTCCAAAATGTCCCGCACAATGCTATCTTGCTCGCACGGTGTTCGAGCGTCGATACGATCCTGCAGCACTGCCAAATGTTTCTTATCGACCTTGCATATCGAACAAGGGAACATGGTTCCCAACGACTTCGTGCATGTGATCTTGCACGACTCTGGGTAGTCCGACACATATGCATACAAATAGGGCCACACGTTGATGCTCTCCCCAGCTGCGTTCTTCATTGCAATGCCGGTGTAGGAAGCCGTCTTGAGAGACTTCAACACCTCTCTCATGATGTAGTTGTGTACTTGCATTTTGTCCACCATGTTGTACTCGGCAGGAAACTCTGGGAGAAGCGCCAGAAGCACGTGGCCATAGGGTTGCCACCTGTCGTCCTTATCAATGTTTCCCAGTGTGAGATACACAGGATGCCCTTTCGCTTTCCCTCTATGATCCATATGCGTTTCATCGCTCGCGAGGATCAAAGCAGCCACAACTCCGTCCGGATCCTCCGCCCTCACCAAAGTTTGCAACCTCTCCCACCAAAGGCCAGTTTCTGGTGTGCTAACCACCCTCACATTTCCAACGTATTGCGGATCTGCATGAAACACCATCTTCGCGGACAACTTAGGGTGCTTCAACATGTCCTGCAAGGCAATCAACGGATCACAGTACCAATATTCCAGCCACGCTTTATTTCTTGAGCGGATGGTCTTCCGTCGCCACCCTCGGTGGCCATCTGTTGCCTTGGAGTCTGCGTACGCTTGAACATCGCGGTAGGTCTTCCAATCCTGAATTTCAAGAATGGTCTTGCGCAGGATTTCCAGCAAGGCGTTGATCTGGCTGATGGAGAGTCGGCACGAGAGTATCCAATGCGCAAGAGCATCCTTCAGGTTGAACCTGGGCGGCTCTTCCTCTGCCGCCGATGAGGGACCTGCTTGAGCTGCTGCACCCTCATGTTCAAAAGCACATGAGGTCCCTGCATTACTAGTCGCATCGTCGTCTTGTTCGAAAGGCAGCACAATATCTACTGAGTCAGTGGACGAGCTGGTATCACTGGTAAAGTGTGTCTCATTATCACATGGCATGTCAGGTGCATCATTACACACATCTGCAGCAGCACTCGATCCTACAAAGGGCTGTACAGGCTCCAGCCTGAGTATTGCACGCGGAATGGGGTTGGGAGGTATGTAGCTCGATCTTGCACGCTTCGGGGCCTGGAGCTGGTCGCTGCTACTAATGAGGTTGGCAGGGCAAGCATTGCTCTGCATGTGCCGACCCAGCCCTGAGCGTGTCTCGAAGGAACAAAGGCGGCATCTTGGGCAGAGGAACGACATCTGCAAAACAAGCCGTAAGATAGAGAGCATGGGAGAAGAGGAGAAGGGTGAAAACAGAGAAGAAAAGCACCAGAACAGAGCACCAGGCTGCAAGGCCCTGAGCCGCGCATAGGAGGGGTGGAGAAGTGTGGAAACTCGGAATAAACGGGCAACAGCTGCCAGGAGCAGGCGGAGCACAGAGAGGACGAGCGTATGGGAGAGAGAAGGCGCACGGGAGGAGTGAACCAGAGGGGAGTGAGAGAGAAGGCGCACGGGAGAAGAGGAGCAGAGGGGAATGAGAGTGTTTGCGCACAGGAGAGGAGTGAAACACGGGGGATTGAGAGGGAAGGCGCACAGGAGAAGAGGAACAGAGGGGAATGCGAGTGTTTGCGCACAAGCGAGGAGAGAACATGGGGGGAAGAGACAGAAGGCGCACGGGAGAAGAGGAGCAGAGGGGAATGCGACTGTAGGCGCACGGGAGGAGAGGAGCAGAGGCGAGTAAAGCAAAATGCGCATGGGAGGAGAGGAACAGAGTGTAATGAGAGGTCTCGCGCAAGGGAGGAGAGTTGAGGGGAACGAGACTACATGCGCGTGGGAGGAGAGGCGCAGAGGGGAATGAGTGAGAAGGCGCACGGGACGATATGAGCAGAGGTGAATGAGACGAAATGCGCATGAGAGGAGAGGAGTAGGGTGAAAACAGAGAAGAAAAGCACCAGGCCAGAGCACCAGTCCGCGAAACAGAGAAGCCGAGCATAGGAGGAGAGGAGATGTGTGAAAATTGTGCAAATACGGGCACAACAAGGGAGGAGTAGGCGGAGCGCAGAGTAGACGAGCGTACGGGAGAGAAATGGCGCACGGGCAGAGAGATACATAAGGGAATGAGAGCGAAGGCGCATGGGAGGAGGAAAACAGAGGGGATTGGGAGAGCAGGAGCACGAGCGGAGAGAAACAGAGGGGGTTGAGAGAGAATGCGCACGGGAGGAGTGAACCAGAGGGGAATGAGAGTATACGCGCACGGGAGGAGAGGAGCAGCAGGGGAAAAGACTAAATGAGCAAGGGAGGAGAGGAACAGAGGGGAATGAGAGGTCTCGCGCAAGGGAGGAGAGGAGTAGAGGGGAATGAGACTAAATGCGCATGGGAGGAGAGGCGCAGAGGGGAATGAGGTTGAACGGGCACGTGAGGAGATGAGCAAGGGGGAATGAAACGAAATGCGCATGGGAGGAGAGGCGCACAGGGGAACGAGAGAGAAGGCGCACGGAAGAAGAGAGTCAGAGGGGAATGAGAGAGAAGGCGCACGGGAGGAGAGAGACGGAGGGGAATGAGATAGGATGCGCACAACCATGAGAGAAACAGAGAGGAACGAGAGAGAACGCGCGCGGGAGAAGAGAGTCAGAGGGGAAAGAGAGGAGGAGGCGCAAGTGAGGAGAGAAAGAGAGGAGAATGAGAGTGAAGGCGCACGGAATGAGAGAAAGAGAGTGGAATGAGAGTGAAGGCGCACGGAATGAGAGAAAGAGAGGGGAATGAGAGTGAAGGCGCACGGAATGAGAGAATGAGAGGGGAATGAGAGTGAAGGTGCACGGAATGAGAGAATGAGAGGGGAATGAGAGTGAAGGCGCACGGAATGAGAGAATGAGAGGGGAATGAGAGTGAAGGCGCACGGAATGAGAGAATGAGAGGGGAATGAGAGTGAAGGCGCACGGAATGAGAGAATGAGAGGGGAATGAGAGGGGAATGAGAGTGAAGGCGCACGGAATGAGAGAATGAGAGGGGAATGAGAGGGAAGGCGCACGGAATGAGAGAAAGAGAGGGAAGGCGCACGGGAAAAGAGGAGCAGGGGGTAGGGAGAGAGAAGGCGCAAGGGAGGAGAGGAGCAGCGGTGAATGTGATTGTATACGCACAGGAGGAGATGAGCGAGACAAAATGCGAATGGCGCAGAGGGGAAAGGGAGTGCACGCACAATGGAAGAGAAGAGCAGCGGGGCATGAGAGGGTACGCTCAATGGAGGAGAGGCGCAGAGAAGGAGAGTGTACGCTTGCGGAAGGGAGGATCTGACGAGTGAGAGCAAAGAACGAGGCGCGGTATGGAGGATCGGACGAGAGCTGGAATGGGAACGCGGCGCGAACAAGGAACAGACGAGAGGGGGAGACGAGCGAGGCGCGGATGCAAGCAACGGACGAGAGGGGGAGACGAGCGAGGCGAGGAAGGTCGGATCGGACGAGAGCACGGAATGCACGAGGCGCAGCGGCGAGGAAGAGACAATAGGCAGAATGGGACGAGGCGTACCAATGACACCGTCCTTGATAGAGAATACGAGGGAACGAACAAGGCGCGCAAGGGCGAAACGAACGAGATAGGGAACGAACGAGGCGCGCAAATAAGGATCGGCCAAAATAGGGAACGGATATAAGCGCGCAATAGAGGAGGGAGCTAAATGGGGCGAGGCGCACCAATCACTAAGGCCGGGAGGGACAATGCGATATCCGCGGATATGGGGGAAACAGACGGCAGTGAATCGACGAAAAGCGCACGGAGGAATGGACGGTAGGGGGAATGGGGCACACGAGGAATGGAACAGAGGGGAGGGACGACATCGATCACGGGAGAAGCGTACGGGAGAAAGAATGCAAAGCGGCGGGCATGGGAGAAAAGGACGGGGTGGGCGGGACGAAGCGCGCACGTGAGGGGGAATAGGACGAGGCCGCCACGGGACGAATCGTCTAGAAGTAAGAGACGGCAGCACGCACCGGAAGCGGACGGGACACTGAATGCGACGTGGCGGGTAAGGGAGGAACGGACGAGAGGAAAAGAACGCGGCGCGCACGGAATGAGCCGAGGGAAGGGAGAATTGCGACGAACGCGTCGTGTTTGGAGTGAAGGGGCACGGGAGGATTGGAGCGTTGCGAAGGGAGAGTCTGGAGACACACCTTAGATTCTCAACAGTTGGTCTAACATCCCGCATAGAAACGCAACCCGGTTCCACACGAAACCGCTCCTGAACCGTGGCGAGTAGTTATTTCGTTGCCTGTACGGCGGATGGCCACGTCTGCTGAGATACACGCCAGATTGAAGTATAGTGGCGGAGGTGATCACCCAGACTAAATAAGACAGTAACAAGGTTTAACTAGTAAGGGTCTGACTACTTAGTCTCTATTGTGCTCGCGAATGTCGAGAGAATTTTGCTAGGGAGATTCGAGTCTGTGCTCCAGCTCGAAATCCTGATTGATAGAGGTATGCACTTCATTCTGGTATAATGCGATGCTGTGCATACTATAGCGCATTTACATGGTTTCTTTGCGATTAGGTACGGTTTCGCGACAGTGGAACGTGAAAGTGGAGCTGTACCGACACCACCCAATCAGAAACTTCTGGGTGCACGGTTGCCAGTGGGTACAAGTACAACCAATGGTCACGTCAGAAAAACCACTGACACTATCAAAATTGGCGCGAATCTGATCATCCTGACAGCTGCACCCTCAACTCCTGCTCGAATGCCTCGATTTTGAGGAACTCCCTAAAGCACGAGCATGGCAGTTTATAAGCAACGACATTCCCAATATTAAAGCCGCAGTTACCAATTGAACATGTGAATTGAAGAATGTGTCACTGTCAAATGTTTATATGTTATAGATGTTAGTTATCTAGGCTACATTGAGTTGCCCTCTAAAGGGTACAACATTCTCTAGGTCGACTTGTATCCCACTGTTCCTACTCACTCACACAATTCTCTCGACACTTGTTCCTAGCCTAACTTAAGATGGTATTAGAGTAGGCAATTTTTCTCCCTCCCACGCTTCCGCTCCCTCCCTTAGCCGGTCCCGAGGCGCCCGTCCCTTAGGCCCCGTTTCGTCGCGGGTAGGACGGCCCCCGCGGGCCTCGTTTTCGCGCCCTCCGCGCCCTCCAAAACGAAACCTCCGCGCCCTCCGCGCCCTCTGAAACGCGCCCTCCGCGCCCTCTGAAACGCGCCCTCCGCGCCCTCCATCTCGTGCCTCCGCCCTTAGCTCGTCGCGGGCCCCGTGCGCCCTGCCCTTAGCTCGTCGCGGGCCCCGTGCGCCCTGCCCTTAGCTCGTCGCGGGCCCCGTGCGCCCTGCCCTTAGCTCGTCGCGGAGCCTCCGCCCGCCTAGCACGCCTCCGCCCCTCTCGCACCCTCCATCCCGGGCCTGAGCCGTGCGCCCTCTCCTTCGCCCACGCCTGGCGCTTTAGACCGCGCCTAGCCCGCGCCCGAGCCCGTGGCTTAGCCCGCGCCCGAGCCCGTGGCTTAGCCCGCGCCTTACCCCACGCCACGCGCCCTCCGTGCTTAGCCCCGCCCTCCGCGCCGTCCGCGCCCCCCCCCCCCCCCCCCCGTGCTTAGCTCCGCCCTTTGCGCCGTCCGCGCCCTCCGTGCTTAGCCCCGCCCTCCGTGCCTCCCACAGGTCGAGCTCAGACCCACGCCTTAGCCCTCACCCTCACCTTAGCTTGGGCCCTACCGACGCCCACCGACACTTGGCACTCGTCCCTTTCCCCACCACCACCCTGTTCGCTGAGCCCCAACCATTCTTACTGCCAGTGGTCTCTAGTTCAGCGGCTGGCAGCCGCTTCTCTCGCCGGTCACCTAGGTTAGACCCGTGTGGTCACTAGCTCCTCGCCTCTAGCGCCCATACCTGGAGTTCCTCGCCGTTTCACGCCTAGCCTAGGTCACTCCGTGCTCCTCGCCACTAGCTCCGCCGGTCTCTTGCCTCGCCACACCTGGCGCTCCTCCATTTCCCTCCTCGTACCTAGCTCCGTCTCTTCCGTGCTCCAACCGCCTCTAGCCTAGCCTCCAGTATGGAGTCTCGCCGCCTTCGGTTCGATGCGGAGGGACGCCCGATCGAGTTCAGTACCTGGCAGTGCCAGGCCACGCGCTACCTGACCAGTCAGCGTCAGGACGGCGCCACCTTGTGGGCCCACGCGTCGGGTGCCCTCAAAGCGCCCCTGTCCCCCGCCCCCCTCCCGAACGACCCAGAGCCAACTCCTGCGGCGCAGGCGGACTACGAGCGTCGTGTCTTGGCGAGGGACGTGTGGGACTCTCGCGACGCTGCCGCCGCTCTTGCGCTGACGGAGCTCCTCCCCCCGACTGAGGCCGCCCACTTTGACCAGGTGGAGACAGCTCAGGGGGTTTGGGCTGCTGTTGTTGCACGCTATTCCACCCCTTCCTCTGCCTCCCTCAGTCGCCTCCTCATGCCGTTCGTGTTTCCCGACCTCGGCTCGTTTGCGACTGTGTCCGACCTCGTGACTCACCTCCGCTCACTTGACGCCGGTTTCCGTGCGGCCTGTACCGACGCCCAGCTTCTTGCTGCTCCCCCCCCCATGTGGCTCACTGTGCACTGGTTAGTCACCCGCCTCCCTGACCACCTTGCCACTGCTCGCGACGCGCTTCTCCAGAAGCACCCCACTGAGCTAACTGTCGATCTCCTTGAGACTACTCTCGGGACGATCGAGAGTAGCCTCCTCACCGTTGCCTCCGCCACTGACGAGGTGGCCCCCCGTCTCTTTGCGGGGTGTGCCGCCCCTCAGCTTCCCACTTTCATTGCTACCCGCGCTTCTGCTGCTGTGTCGGTTTCTGGGGACACTGCTGCCGTTTCTGCCGCAGACTGGCAGAAACGGGGCACGAGTGGCAAGAAGGGCGGGAAGGGGGGAGGTGGAGGCGGTGGAGGCGGCGGTGGAGGTGGCGGTGGAGGTGGGAGCGGCGGTGGTGGCGGAGGCGGCGGCGGCGGCGGTGGTGCACCAGGGGGAGGGGGCCTTGGAGGAGGCACAGGACAGACAGGCCCACCCACAGGTGGTGGCCCGACCGGTGGGGGCGTTGCCCCCCAGCAGCAGCAGCCACAGCAGCACCAGCCACAGCAGGGACAGCAGCAGCAGCAGGCACCGCAGCAGGCACCGCAGCAGTTCCAGCAGTGGGGGCCCCCGCTGCAGTGGGGTCCGCAGCAGCACTGGGGTCCCCCGCCGCAGTGGGGTCCGGGAGGCCCTGGGAGCACCGGCCGCAGCAGCAGCTCTTCCAGCTGGGCCCCTCGCCCCCCTCGCCGTGACGCTGGCCCCTGCACCCACTGGTGCCTCACCGGGCCGGGCAGCCCCTGTCTCTGTGGTCGCGACGACCACTCTGCCGCGCGGTGCTTCCGCCGCCTCGACGACCTCTACCGGGCTCGTTGGGGCCCTCTGGCGGTCACGCCTCGCTGGTCTCGTCTGTTAGCACGTAAGATTGATGTCTTTGATCTGTCCATGGACGATGCGCGTCAGCATGCTTTGTATGTTGATGCTGACTTTAGTGCTGATGGATCTGTGTGCTCGCGTGTTCGTAGTTTCGCTTGCTTGCCTCCTGCTAGTGTAGCCTTGTGCCTGTCTAGCTTAGGTGCTTGTATTGCTGCTCTAGGTGCTTGTGTAGCGACTGGGTCAGGTGACCCTCCGGCTGAGGCCTCTCTGTCGTTCACGCTGGACTCGGGCGCGTCTCAGTGCTTCTTCCGCGACCACACGACCCTTACACCACTCCTCACACCTGTGTCGGTGGCTTTGGCTGATCCTACCTCTGGACCAGCCGTTGCGCGTAGCTCCACCACCCTCCCGTGCCCTGTGGTCCCCTCTGGTGTCCTGCGTGGCCTCCACATCCCCTCGTTCACTCGGAACTTGGTGGGTGTTGGATACCTCCAGGACAGGGGGATCACGGTTACCTTCGTGGGGGGTGGGCGGACTGCAGTCTGTACAGACGCTACCACAGGTGCTGTTCTGGCCACGTTCACCAGGGAGCCCCGCTCCGGTCTCTACGTCCTCCACACCGAGCGCTCCCCGGTCGCGTCCTCCCCTCAGGTCGTTGCGTCCCCTCCGGCCCAGGTCCCCAGTCGAGTTGCTGTGTCTAGCCAGGTAGTAGTGTCCGGTCCGGTCGCTGTGTCCAGTCCAGTCGCTGCGTCTTGCTCCTGTCGCTCTCTCACCCACCGCACCGTCCTGTGGCACCACCGCCTTGGCCACCCGTCGACCCCTCGCCTACGCGGCATGCTCAGTCAGGGACTTGTCTCAGGTCTCCCACGCACCTTCCCGTCGCTCCCTCTCTCGCTTGCCCCTCCTTGCTCTCCGTGCGTCGCCGGTCGCTTACGCGCCACTCCCCACTCCTCCTCCCTTCGTCCGGCCACCGCTCCCTTCGAGACTCTCCACTTGGACGTCTGGGGCCCTGCCCCGACGCAGGGGTCTGGGAGGGAGCGTTACTTTCTGGTGGTTGTCGACGACTTCTCGAGGTACACCACAGTGTTCCCTCTTGCGAAGAAGTCCGAGTTGACTGCTACGCTGATCAGGTGGCTTCTAGCCACTGAGGGCACTCGTGGTCGTCGAGTCAGTTGTCTCCACTCCGACCGTGGGGGCGAGTTTCGCTCCGGCATTCTCGGCGGATTCTGCGGCGAACAAGGCATCACCCAGTCCTGGACGCTGCCAGAGTCCCCACAGCAGAATGGGGTTGCTGAGCGCCGCATAGGCTTGGTCATGGACATCGCCTGCACGTCCATGATCCATGCCCGTGCGCCCCATTTTCTGTGGCCCCACGCGGTTCGCTACGCCGCACACCAGCTGAACCTCCAGCCGCGTGTCTCGCGGCCCGAGGCTTCACCGACCAGTCTTTGGACTGGTTCCCCTGGTGTCGGGTCGGCCTTTCGAGTCTGGGGCTGCCTTGCGCTTGTTCGCGACACCTCCGCGGACAAGCTCTCGGCACGCGCCGTCCCCTGTGTCTTCCTTGGTTTCCCAGTGGACTCTGCCGACTGGTCCTTTTACCACCCTCCCCTCCACCGGTTCCTAGACTCCCGTGACGTCCGGTTTGACGAGTCCGTGTCCTACTACACCCGGTACCCCTGTCGAGGTCTCCCGGTACCCCCTCCCCCTCTTTTCCTCGCACCCTCTCCTCCTCCTGCTCCCGCCCCTCCGGTACCCCCGCCCCCCCCTGGTCCTGCCCCGTCTGGTGTGTCCCACGTT